AAAAAAAAAAAAAAAATACGCAGCAAATTAGCCAAGTTGGCTAGCTAGCTAACAAGCAAAGTAGCAAAGTTGGAAAGTTGCAAAGGAGCAAAGTTGGAAAGTTGCAAAGTAGCAACGGTGCAAAGTAGCTAACTAGTATGCCTCCCACCCCCCCTGCGACGCCGTCCCAATTATGAACCTTCTGAGGGGCACAAAGCTGGTGAGTACATTGCCCTCTTATTTTCGCACACAAAAAAAAACCCACCATTGGGGAAAGAAATCCACCCATGAAATATTTGAAAATGAAAAGTGCCTAGACAAATTTGAAGACCTCCAGAAAAATAAAATAATTTACAAGAAGGATCATAAAGATTACTTGAAGCTATATAAACGTTACAGACCTGTCTATGCCAAGCTCATTGTGGAGAGGAGTAACCCCTTCAACTTTGAGATTCACTGGAAGGTGACTGAAGAATCATCCGTTTGTGTCAGTAACGAGGCAGGTGGGAAGATAAAGAATTTTACGCAGACGTTATGGAAGCTGAAGGGAGAGCTGGCCAAACTGACTGACCGTTTGGAAGCGAGTCAGCCCAATGAGGTACACACTAGAAAGGTGAAGCAAGATGGCGAAGTGAGAGGGGCCTCCCCAAAGGTACACCTCAAAAATATATCGGATTGGGGAAGGCAACAGGAGGAACACGTCGAAAGGAGGCCAGGAAAGACGCTCTCCCACAGAAGCAACACCCCGGAGAGCAACCAAAAGGGAACAAAAAAAAAAAACAGCTACAGCAAGTTTCACAAAATTTGGGAATGTTTCCTATCCCACAAGGAGAGAAACAACGTGAAGGAGGAAAAAATATGCTTCGAAATTCTGCGGAGGAACTTTTTGAAAGCCGAATTTTTTGGTGAAAATAAAAAAAGAGATTTCCTGTTTTTCGAAAATATATTAACATCACTGTTGTTGAGACCGCACATATTTATATCGGTGTTGAACTCTCTGCATTGTGTTTTCTTCGACACGACGGTGGGTGTCTCTCCGCGGATAGCACCCATGAGTAGAAGTGACCCCGTACGGAGTGGAAGTGCCCTCCTCGTGAATAACTCCCCCGGAGTGGGACAGACTCCCCTGCCTCGCCTCTATCCCACGAGTGCACCGGCACATTTGGTAGATCCACAAAAGGGAGAGCAAAAAAATGGCGCCACAAATGGAAGCACGTACACTTCATATGAGGAGGGTCACTCAGAGGGAAAAAATCCCCGTGATCAGGACAACAGTAAGCAAAGACAACCCCTTGGGCACATCCTCTCTAATGAGACTTCTGCTCAAATCAGAAGGTACATTCTAAATTACCTATTCAATATATATTATGAAAAGCACGTGGGGCTCCAGAACATGCAGAGGACATTCGAACTGCACCAGGCATACAAACTTCGCTACTGTAGGAAGGAGAAAACTGATTACAAGTTTATCGCTTGCAGCGAAGTCGAACTTGAGATCAATGATATCATTTTAATTAAGTGTGCCCCAATGAGCGACTCGTTCTTAGTAGGAGTGGTTAACAGAATACAGAGGGCCAGAGATTTTTCCGTCCTTTTTATGAATGTCAAACGGTACATGTGCGGCAACAAGGGGGGAGACGGGACGAAGCTGTACGAGGAGATGGACATAAGTGAGGAATACGTGGAGAGTTACCTGAGCAGACGGGGCGGAACCGCGAAGGAGTTGTCCTTTGGGGCGGCTGCGCATGGGGGTAGCCCCCACATTGATAACGCCTCTAGAGGGCATCCAATCGGTGATAAGACCTATCGAGAGCATCCAATCGGTGATAGGCCCCTTCGAGAGCATCCAATCGGTGATAGGCCCCTTCGAGATCATCCAATCGATGATAGGCCCCTTCGAGATCATCCAATCGGTGATTACCCCTATCCAGATCACATCAACCATGACCGGTCAAGTGGCTCCCTCCCGCAGCCACCTCCCTACGCCGACGACCCCAACGTCCACGAAGCCGTCACCCTCACCGTTCACCTGAATACCATTTCGAACCGAATAAAGTACTCCATGCTGAGTCTCTTCGAGAGGAGGAAAGATTCCCCCCACAGCGAACTCTTACAGCTACTTCTAAACGAAGAGAAGAGTCCATCATCTGTGGTGGCACCCACGGAGGTGACAAACATGTGCATTGGGGGCCACCACGATGGGAATTACAACTTCCTGATCCAAGAAGCTATACATAAATTCATGGAGAGTCGAAAAAAGGAAATCCATTTCTTCGACATGGGTAACAAGGATCTTATCAAGAGTGATAAAATCGTTGGCAGGTTGCACAAAAGGTTGAAAAACAACCCAGAGGAATTCTCACACATGTGTAATATGTACAGGAGGTTCGACGTCTACCAGAAGGGAATTTTGCAGGACATTCTCATCAACGAAGAGGGAGTACCCATGCACCTGGTTCGGGGTGAGTTCGGCAGGAGGAAAAAAAAAGAGAGAGATGGAGGGAGATACACACATCGGAATCGTTATCGTATCTCACGAATGTTCCCTCCGCAGCTTGCGCGTTGCTTCTTCCAGTTTTAATTCAAGTCACATTTCCTTGTTGCACGTTGCCCCTAACAACCCCCTTGCAGGCGCACCCGGGAGCGGCAAGAGTGACCTCATCTCCTTCATCATATACTTCCTAACCCTGGAGCGGAAGAACAACATCTTCGTGGGAACAAGCAAACACATCTCGGTGCAAAACGTGCGCCAAAAGTTACTGCACCTTAACCTCTGCCTCAACAGAGACACCATGCATAGGCCGAGAAACCAGAAGTCCGACATTTATATAGACACCATTTATCAAGCCTTCAAAATTAAGGATAAAAAAATAAAGCACCTAATTATCGACGAGGCGTCCAGCTTATCTGAGTACAGCAGTCTCATCTGCCTAAATCTGAACTGCGATTTTGTGTACGCCTTCGGTGACGATAAGCAGTTAACTTTCCACAGCTTAATAAACGAGAGGAAGAGACTCCAAATAAATTACCTCAGCATCTTCCAGAAATTGAGTCACTACAAAAATGCCAAGTGTCACAATCTGCTCATTCAGTACAGGTTGATCTTTCCTATGTACTTATTTACTTCTTTTTATTTTTACGAGAGAAAATTAATTGCATCGAAAAAGATTATGGACAATTTCTTCCTATCAGGGGGGGACCCAACTAGGGTTATAGAGCCCAAGGTAGGCTTCGCAGCAATCGACGCAGCAACCGACGCAGCAACCGACGCAGAAACGGACCACCCCATCTACTCAAACTGGAAGAACCTCTTCCAGCATTGCACCGTCCCGATTGTCTTCATCGATACGTACCATGGAGAGTACAACTCTCAAACGTTTGAATTCAAAATTAACTACTCCTACGTGAACCAGTTTGAGGCACAGATAATTATAAAGCTGGTCCAAATTTTAAAGCTGGAGAATCAGAAAAATGTCACCATTTTGACTCCGTACACGGGCCAAAAGTTTTATATCCAATCTCTGTTGCGAAATGGCTATCTGGACAATAGGACCCATTCACATGAGCCCATATTTTACCTCGACCAAAAGGAAAACAAACAAAATTGCACAAATATCATGTACCAAAAGGTGGCTGGAAGATCGGGAGGTATATTTTTTCCAGGTGAGCATTCCGGCACCCACAGGAGAGATACCCATTCGAGGGGGGACTGGAGTCATGACCAAATGTTCGAACTTTTTAAGAAGGGCAATAGGGGAGGGAAGACGAACGAGTTGACCCCAATCTCCTCGGAGGAAAACATCCTTCGCGTTGGTCTACCTGGTAACTCTTTCAATGAGGAGGCTTCCTTCCAAACTCATAATCCAAGTGGAGTCCCCCTTTTTGGAAACATCCTTTCGAGGAGGTTTCCACCAAATCGTGAGATAGTGGGTGCAAACAATTTCCCTCCCTCAGAGAAAGTACTTTCTACCACGTTTGAACTACCCTCAAACGGAAGAACCATCAGTAAGCACTATAAGTGGACCAACCGATTCGATGGGAATAACCAGCCAGCGAAGGAAAACCTACAACTCGACCCAAATATGAACATTCTGCACAGAAATGTGCACACAATAGACAGTTACCAGGGGTGCGAAAACGACTTCATCATTATAAGCACAGTCCGATCGAATGACAAAAATGTATTGGGTTTTCTAAATGATGAAAAGAGGTTGAACGTTCTGTTGACTAGAATGAAAAAAAGAATTATCATTGTCGGAAATTCTAACACGCTACGGAATAATTTTTTTTGGAAGGAGTTCATTTCCTTTTTGGACTTTTTTAACTCCAGGAAGTCCGCCTTTACTTTGCCCTTCCTGCGCAACGGCAAGTGAGCAGATAAAAGAGAAAAAAAAAAAAAAAACACGGGGGGTTCTTTGCCCATCCGAGGAAGGCCGTCCATAAGTAGGTTAGCAAAATACATATCCATATCGCTCTGACAGATGGTGCCTTTTTCGCAAAAATGACGCCATTGCTTTTTTTTTTTTCTTTTTTTTGTCACATAAACTGGCGCAATTTTTTTTTTTGTTATCCTCAATAAAGGGATTTACCTCCTGTGGAGGAATTCCCCAACCATTTGTTTCGCCCGATGTGGGGTTCGTAGAGTGGACGTTTCACTGCTTAGTCGTCCACTGTTCAGTTGTCTACTGTTCAATCGTCCGCTGCTTGGTCGATCTCCCGCTTTACTTCACCCACCTGACCAGGGAACAGAGGCCCCCCTTTGGCCCTCGCGAAAAGTGCTTCACTTGTGAAGCCGAAAAAGCCGCTAATTTTGAAAAAGACATGTCACAAAAACATGGGCATATACCTACACGCGTGTATCCATGTGTGGATACACAAAAAGGCAACTTCGCTTGACACAAAAAAAAATAAAATAAAAAAAAAAATAAATAAAATAACAAAAAAATAAAATCATCAAAAATAAAATAAAAAAATCATCAAAAATAAAAAATAAAATAATCAAAAATAAAATAAAAATAAAAATAAAATAAAATAAATGATGAAGGCGAATAGGCAAGGCAAATTGAAAAAAAAAATAACGAAACGCGAATTAGTTGAGCGTGAAAAATGTGATCACGAGGGTCTGACCTCACATATCTGGTTAACAAAAAATTTATCATCGGGAAGGGTCCTACGTCACACACTTTAATATGCTACGAAGGTGTGTAGCTGCCAAGGTGGGCACCCCCCCGGCGCATTTAACTTGGCACACAGAGCTCCACAAATGGGGAGACAGAGACCCCCTCAGAGGCGCTTGAAAAAATCGGTTATCTTGGTCGACTGCTTGGTGTATGACTTGGTACTTTTCCCCCTGGTAGCTTTAACGCCGTGCACTTGCTTGAGCGAGCCGGAAGCGACTGTGGGCGGCTTGACGCTGCTCTGCGAGCTCTTAGTCTTCCCGGAGTCGGTTGGGATGGAGTACACCTCATCCAGGTCCCTAGGCTCCACGGAATTGTTCTTTTCAGCGACGTCGCTAAAAAATTTATCCACAGATTTGTTCCTAAAGAGGTCAATTTCGATTGAGTGAAACTTCCTCTTCCTGGGGGTGACATTGATGTGCTCAGGGGTGTTGTTGATTTTTTTGTCGATAAAGTTAAGGAAGTCTTGGCTGTTGTTTCGGGAGCCGCCACTTAGCTGTCCCCCAGTCAGCTGCCCCCCACTCAACTGGCCACTGCCCACCGGATTGCTGGACAGGTGGCTGCCACTCGGCTCGTTACTGCCCATCACGTTAGTGCCGCTCGTCTTGGATTTACTGTACGGAGCTGGGCCAGGGCGTCTCACATCCATTTTCATGCCGGAGTCGAACGTTTTGACTCTCCGAATAACTTTACTTTTAATTTTAATAGTGTTCATGTCGTTTTCCCCCCCCTCATTCATTGGCTGCCTGTCGAAATTCTCATCCTCCGCAATGTCATGTTGGAGTTTGTAAGTGTACAGCTTCTCTTTCAAATTTTGTATTTCATCATTTTTCTGTGTTATGTCTTCTTTAAGCTCCTTCACAATTGACTCGCTTTTCTTCTGATCGCTGAGGCAATTTTTGAGATAATTTAAAATCACATTTTGCTGTTCCTCTATGGTTAATACGTTAAGGCCAAAGAGTAAATTAATTTTGTTCAAATCTTCTTTATTTAAATCGTTTAAATATTTTTCGACCATTTTGTATTTTTTCAATTCCTTGTCATATTCCTGTATTTTTGTAGTGAGCAATATTTTTTCCTTCAGATATTCATCCTTCAATTCCTTCAGTTTTAATTTTTCATTTTTCTCCTGATCAATTTTGATGTTATTTTGGCTAATCGTGTCACTTAAAATTTTATTTTTATTTGTTAAGGTTAAAATTTCAAAGGAATATTTTTCATTTTCATTTTTCGTTTTTATCAATTCCGCTTCGAACGTAACTAAATATTCGTACAGCTCATTTTTATTTTTGTTTATGTAGCTTTCGTCCACGATGGGCATTTTATTTTCCTCGTTAAGTTCATAGTGTATAAATAGGAGATTCTTTTTGCAGCAAGTGCATTTGCAGAGGGGGCAGGATTTCTGGATACCAATCCATTGCTTCATACAGTTGTAGTGGAATACATTTCCGCAGTTTCTTTCTACACACAGATTGTTTTTTAAGCTGAGCCTACATATGCAGCATTCAGGGATAATGTACATTTTCTTCCTTCTCAGGGGGAAACAGAAGTGGAGACTTCAAATTGGTGAGCAACACTCTTTTTCCCGTGGGGAAACACATGCATAACGTGCTGACATGTATGTCTCTGCTTTGCGGTTGCTATGCGTAGCTAAGGGTGCATAATCCCTTTAGCCGCTACAACTATGCCAACTTGCAAAGCGGTACCGCTTTGATGGTGGCGATCCTTCCATGGGTTTACTCTTGATCGAGTGGTTTGCGAAAAATTCAACTCGTTTGTTTATTACAACAGGGTTGCTTTTTTTTTTTTTCTTGGTTTCACTCTGCCTCCTTTTGTTGTAACACTTCCTTCGCGCCCCTTCTTCCTGTACTGCGGCGGTTGCGGAACGAGCACCTGCTTACTCCCTGGTTACTCCCCGCTTACTCCCTGCTTACTCCCACCTCGGGCTCGTCTCTCTGGGCAGTCGAGCGGGCTGTCCTTGTCTCATGGGATATTTCCGAGATCGCGCATGCGCTCGGGGCGGTGCCCTTGAGCTCGGCGCAATTTCCGCTGCACTCGCCGCTACTCCTGCGTGTGCGCACGTTTCTGACCGCTGCTTCCTCTTTCAAAGATTCCCTACACAATTTCATGCATTTTGCAAACACTTGCTCGGCGTACTCATAGATGATTACATCGAAATTTTAAAAAAACGGAAATGAGCACACCGCGAGGAGAACGTGGTCTCTCCGTTTTGGGAAATTTCTTTTTTACGTGCTTTTGCAAAATGGATCGAGCGGGAAAAGGTAAAAATCATTGGGGGCTTTTTTTTTTTTTTGAAAAAAAAAATATCTAGCTGTTCTTCGTTTAAAAAAAAGAAACAGTGCCGCCCCTTGCCCCGATTTATCGTTCCTCCCAAGGAGCTGTTACTCCCTCCTGGGTATGCCATTGTGACATTGAAAATTGCACATACACACAGAGTGTGTACGTGACCTGTTTGGAGGATAATCTCCAAGTGATCAAAACTGTGAACACTTTTTCATCCTTCTTTTTTTTTTTGTACGAGAAAGTGTGTCACTTGGGAGAACACACATCCGAGCTGTTAAACAGTAGAGTATCCGCGCCCGGGACGAAGTCATGCTTTTCTCGTTGCTCAGCCTTTGGGGGAGGTAGCACCCCCCCCCTCCCCCGCCCTACGTTTTTGTACAAATGGAATGGAAAGCATTCATCCTGCATTTTTTCTTTTTATTTTCCACGTAGCATCCAAATGACTATAAAAGTGGCCATTCCACTTGCTCCTCATATCATGCTCCCTTTCCAAAGTGGTAATAGTCACAGTGGGCTTGAACTACTTACAGTAATTAATTAATAATCAGCATAGGTGTTAAGGTGGAGCCAGAAAAAGGTATTTTTAAAAAATGCCGCCCTTCATTTTATGTACACATTAAAGAAAGCGAGTGCGCTGTTGCGCGTGCGCCTCCGCTTGTATGAGTGTCGGAGACTCGGAATAACCCCTAAAATAGATTAAGAGGGGTTAGAAAAAAATTGCCATAGGAAGCTTTAAAATAGGTGGGTACACGCACGGGCACATTTCATCAAATAGAAATTAAAAATAAAAGGAAAAATAATTTACAAGTGTCAAAATGGGGTTGAAAAAGCAAATAATCAGCGGAGCTGCTTCGGTGGAGAGGTGCCTATCAAAAAAGTGGGCAACGCATTTTTGCCATTGGAAGGAGAGCGGCGCGGCGATATAGCAGCGAGTAGTGAGCAATGTAGTAGTGCAGCAGTGAACACTGTAACAGTGTACCATCGCATAGCTCTGGTAGGTACCCGCCACGCGGACGACTCGCCGCGTAACTCCAACGGGGCGTGCATGCATACCGGACAGTGTGCCCCCGCTGTCCCCTCACTGCATAACCTCCGTGTTGTGCTTCACCCACTGAATCAAGTTGTGGTTCAAATTATACGACTCAATGTTCTCAAGGAAGATGTCGTAGTAAGGGAACTTGGTCGGCTCATGTAGACCGAACAGGTCGTTACTAAAATTTTTAATATTCAAATGACTTAATGAGTAGGAAGACAGAGCAATGATGTCCAGATCGACCAGCCGAAAGAAGGATCGTCTGTAGGCATCGAGAGAAAAACCAACAATCTGTTCTTGAGGATAGGCTTGTTTAAATTTATTAATCTCTAGCAAGATAACATACAGCGTCTTAGGAAGTAGCTCTTTTTTGTACAACCTTGTGAATGCACATAGGATCATATATTCAATGGTGCAGAGATCTCGGAGCACTTTTTTAATGTAGTGTCTTCTTATGAACTTGGACTGTACGTTATTTAAAATGTATTGACTTTCCACCTTGGTTTTTAATTTGATATTTTCCTTTAACTTCCTTGGACTCATATCCATGTTCATATCTAGATGGAAGTGTCCATCTCGACCTCCTGCATGTTTTCCTTCCGTTGCAGAATCTTGGTGGAAGTTTCTTTTAACGGGGGTGCAGTCTAATTTGCCTGGTCTCTGTTCTCTAAGATACTTGAGGTTAGCTTTTTTCTCCTTGGAGAAGATGCCCAATTTTTCGTTGCCTAGTTGGCCATCGTCCTCCACGCTGCTACCTCTGCCCTTCATTGGGGAGGCCTCTCGAAGGTTTTCTCCTTCCAAGAAGTGGTTATACTGGGAGTCTTCCCCCTCTGCATGGCGATTCACCTCGCCATCGATCGAATTTGACGTATCCTTCTTGAGATATTCTCCTTCCTGATCAGATGCTGAGGAAGTGTGTTCTGAGTGCGAATCCAGTAGGGCGTTCTTCTGGAAGAGACCCTTATGGAGGTTATTACCCCCCTCTTGGCAGTTTCCATCTCCACCCCGTTCGGCAGTAAGAATATGTCTATACTCACATATGGACAAAATGGCATCCACACAAGTGTGGTAAATATGCCTGATGTCGAGTCCATAGTTGATGTCATAGGACCACTGCTTTAGGAGAAGCCCATCGGCTATCTCCTTCTGCATAGTGGAATTATAAATCTGCAAGAACCTTTGGATCTTTATCAAATCTACGTAGGTAAAATAAACAGAATAGTACTTCTTTATCAGGTGAAAGTCGTCCAAATTGACATACAATATTTTGTATACCAGTTTGGAAATTTCCTCGATGTTCAAAATGGGAGAAATGTGAAGCATTTCAAACGTGAACCTCGATTTTATTCTCTTTTCCAACGTTTGAGTAATGTCCAAGACGTTCGTCAGGCAAATGATGTTAATACAGATATTTTTTCTGTGTAGTAAATCGAAGAGAGTATACAACAGATTCTGCTTCGTTTGTAGACAGAATTTTTCTACATTTTCGATGATGAGGAGAGTTTGTTTTTTTTCATTATTTATCTGGATGAGTAATTTTTCCAATTTGATAATATAATCGTTTAGAAGCAAATTACCTTCCATCTTGGACTCTCCTTCGTCTACATAATTTTGAAGCTGACTCAGAATGGATCTGATGCATTGCACATCGTCTCTGTACAGGTATGCACTGATTCGGATGGTGTAGATACACCTCTGTTCCTTCTCTTCCTTCTTTATTTCTTCTACAATTTTTTTATATTTTTCATTAAACTCGGGATTTTCATCATCAGTTCGGTTCTCCACCTGGGGCAAATGATTGTGCTCCTTCAAGAGTTCCTCAAATTGAATTTTGTTCCGTATGTTTGTGTTTTTTCTCAGAGGAGACAGGTCGTTGTTTTCGAATATGTTTTTTATGTTCATGTTGATTTGTTGCGCATTCATGTTGGCTTCACTTTCTTCCCACGCGTGGGGGATCCCCTCGAAGGAATCATCATCGGATGAGATGTTCTCATAGTCGTTGTTGATGTATCGGTTTGCGAAGGCACTGTTGCCACTCTTGCCGCCGCTCTTGCCGTCTCCCTTGCTCCCCTTCCTCGGGGTGAAGTTAAAAAGTGGCTCGTCGCAGTGAATCTTAATCTTCTTCCTCACGTGCCTCGATGACGACTCGTAGCGAGAGACTTCCTCCTGCTGGTAGCTTTTCACGGTATACGGCGTCTTCTTGTACAACTTCTTGCTCACATTGTCATCCGCTGAGAGGAATCCCACGCTTCGTTTGTCGCTTTTTCGATTCATGTTCTTTTCTATTTGTAAATATTTGTTAAAGTATTCGATGGCCAAACTTACGCAGGTCGTTTTTCCGCAGCCCAGCATTCCCGTGACGAGAAAAATTTTGTTCTCTCTGATTTTGTAGGACTTTATCAGTTTCTTGAGGAGCTCCTTGATGGAGTAGTTGAGGTCCTTGTGCTCCTCCTGGTTATCCTGCCCCTTTGTTTCACCGCTTCCAGTCTGTTTGTTATTTCCACTCGGATTACCACTTCCTCTCTGTTTGTTATTTCCACTGGGGTTACCGCTTCCGCTCTGTTTGCCACCAGGACCCTGCTTGCCGCTACCTTTCGGGGTGTCGCACCCCTCCTTGGAGAGCAAATTCTCCAGCATGATATTCGAGATGGACTCCTCCTCATACTTCTCAAAGTAGTTGCTGTAAAGCCCCCCGTGCAAGGCTAAGTTCGCCTTTATCCGCACGATATGCTTTATGTACGTCAAAATGTACACACTGTAGAAGCTTTCCCGCTTGTCCTGCTTTCCCTCCTCCGCTTTGCCATCTGCATAAATGCTATTATTTCGATATGCCTTAATCTTCACGTTCGCAATATTCTCCAGGGTAAGGTCCCCCTCCCCGTCTTTCATCATCGGTGAAAGCAACGAGCTCGGCTAGGTTCTCGCTTGGCGGGGGAGAAACGCGTAGGCCGCGCAATTGGAGGGGGGTAAAAAAAGGTAAAAAAAAAAAAAACGAACCCTTAAATTTGCAAATATGTAATAATAGTTTCCATCACTTTATCTCTTTTCAGCCTCCAAAGGAATGCAAAAAAGAAAGAAATCGAAAATCGACGAGTTCGCAAGAATGCGCCCTCGGCATGTCACACCAGTTATGAATACAAAGTGTAGGCAATACACACACGTATTTTTTTTTTTTTTTTTTTTTCTCCCCAACCATGGGCCTACGTCACACAGGGCAAACTTAATTGACATAAGAGATGCAAGAAGGCCACACCGATGTAGACGCGAAGTTTGAATAAACGTGCCAGGGCTCCAAGATAATTTCGACCGAGTGCCTTTTTTTAAGCATCTCCTTTTTAGTGGCGTAAAATTGGAAAATAGGTCACTCTCCCTTTTGCTCACTTTGCGCGCGAAATAGCGCGGCGCTTGAAATGAGCCAATAAAACCAGGGAAGTAATCGGGTGACAAAATGGGGTGAAACAGTCGGTCGAAGCAATCCGGCGAAACAGTCGACCCACTTCAGCATGCCAATAAAACGAACGAGTCAGCCGCCGCACCCACGAAACACGACCAAAGGGACCGTTTACCCCCATGGCATCTCCTCACTTATTTGAACCACACACACACCAGGAGCGCCACACACGCAGATAACCTACCATGTCAACACGTCAACATATCGACGAACCGCTGGCCCATTTAATGCCCAAATGTATGCACGCCTTGCGAAAATGTTGTGGTGTCCCTGTCTGACGCTTCAAAGGGGGGGAAGACTGGACGGAGAGCTTAGCTCATAAAGAAGTTGGCACAAAAAAAATACACCTTAAGAAAGAAGGAACAAAATGAGGTATAGGAGAAGGACCTACCTGTTCTCCCTATAGTGTTAATCCTAGACAATTACTCCCAAACGGGGTTACCGCCATCCATGTTCAGTAATTACCCAATCGGTCATTGGGGCCAAGACGGAGCTGCCACGGTTTTCTATTTACACGGTTATGTTCACTCCACTCGGGAATTCCCCTTTTTTTTTTTTTTTTTTTTATCACATCATGATCAACTTTGGTAACTTGTTTCCCCCTCCTAGGGTAACATTTAGGAAAAAAAAAATAATGGTACTCTTTTTTTTTTTTTTTTTTTTCAAACAAAGTGGACCCAACTGGGAGCGGAAGAGCAAGGGCCCTTTTCAAAAAATGACAATTTGTAGGTGGAACAATTTCTCAAAGGGAAAAATAGAACCACTTGAAAATGTATTCATTTTTTATATGCACACATAGGTGTGTACATTTCTGTTTTCACGAGTCGCTCTCAAATAAACTCTCCGTTGTGAAACACGGGGAGTCGAAAATGCAATCATAGGAAATCGACGAACATAGCTATATGACCCTATCCAGACACCCTGAACCTTAGCATAGGCGAGGCCTATTTGTTGGAGTAACATCCCCTTAGGGAACCGCCACTACGTATGTTACGTTCCTGGGGTGTGGGGTTCCATTTTTATTTCCCCATTTCCCCTCTACCCCTGTTAAATGGCAGCTCATTTGTTCAATTCTTTAATGAGCGAGGGAAAGGAAGTATAACCCATACTGAACTATCTAATAGCGGGATGACCTAACCAAATGGGAGAGTTACTATGGGGAGATTTTTCCCAATTTGTAAACAAGTTGGTAGCATCATCGCTTCGTTCTCTTTCCTTCAATGTTTAGCGAACAGTGCTCGCGAGGTGTTCGTGGCCAAGTGTTGACTTGAAGAAAATAAACGTGACGACGTCCTGTGCGAAGGAAGCACATGTGATGTTCTACTGCCGTTACACAGCATCCAAGGAGCGGTTCAAAGCCCAGTAGATTGGGGGCATAACAAAAAAAAGAAAAACTGTGGTTTGATGACGCGCCCTCCCCAAATGGTAGCCCTCGCTCAGGGAATAATTATTTCAAGTGGTTATTCCTTCACAGGGACGTACAAATGTCGCAGTTATGCCGACATAACACGTCCGCCTACGCGCATAGGTACAAACGCTTATCATCTGTTCACACGTGGGTGCATCCCAATGTACATGTATGGGCATATGCAATGTGCCAATGAAGGGTCCTACCCCACGGGCATAACTTGTGCCTAGGCGCACCCCCAATTTGTTCCACGTCCGGCCGCTTCTCCTCATAATCAGCGTGTTCTACAAAAAGGGGAATTCCCCCTACGGAGGAAGAAAAGGATAAATAGGCCTTTTGAAAATGTGCTTTTTGAAAATAGGCTTCTTCAAAATCGGCCTTTTGAAAATATGCCTAATATAAAAACGACTATTAAAAAAACCCCTCTGAAAACCCTTCCCCGCCGACGTTATAATCTCCCGATTAGCGTCGAACTGGTTGTTTCCTGCAGATTTCTATTCCCTTAACGTCCCCATACTTAGGCCAGCGTCGCGCTGATACATGTACCTGCGGGATAGTACTACATTACATATAAATGATTCCACGCGTTCTCGCCGCTGGCGTGTACATGAGAACGTCGGCGTAAAATTTACTAAGCACCGTTGCGCAAAGGAGAAAAAAAAAAAAAAAAGCAAAACAAAATTTCGCCATACAAATTAAGAAAATACCTGTTGATTAGCAGTCCCCTTTGTGCTGATAATCCTCACGGGTTTTTATACAAACTGAAGGCGATCTGAACCTACAATGGTGAGAGTAACGAAAACGGCCAAGGGGATGAATCGCGACTTTTGCATCTGTTAACTCAAAAAGCCCCACCGTCCGACACGTGTACCGTGAGGTCACTCTACGGGCAGGTGCGCGAGCGATGCTTGTTGTAGCGGAGGCCTCAGCAGTACCCGCAGCAGCGGAGAAGTCGTGTAGTCTCCGAGAAGTGGTGTTACCTACACGGTAAAGAGCGCCCCCCCGGCATCTGCCCCCGTGAGCTTATAGTAGATAATAAGGAAAAAGCACAGGACCAGATGTTTTCCCCCCAATTGGGTTGAACGGCATCGTCAACTGGTCATCCCAATTTGGAGCGGCGCCAATCGCAGTAGCGCCAATCGCGGTAGCGCTAACCTCAACATCGCCAACTGTGCGGCCACACCACTGCTTCACAGCCCCTCTACAAAATGAGCGACGAAACCAAGGATGGGAAGAAAACTCCCTCCGAAGACGAGAAGGACAAGGAATTTGAGGAGAAAATAAAACACCTGACCCTGGACGAGAGAGTGAAGAAGGCCCTGAACCTTAAGCTCGAGGGGAACAATGAATTTAAGAAAAAAAAATACCAAGAAGCCATCAGCAAGTACAAGGAAGGGTTGAAGTACATACACAAGTTGGAAAATAAAAATGAAAAAATGATCGAATTGGAGGTGGCCTTTTATCAAAACATGAGCATATGCTATTCCAACGTAGAGAATCACAACCAAGCGTATGAGTACGTAAAAAAAGTACTACAACTGGATAAGGATAACGCCAAGGGGTTGTTCCGACTGGGACAAATTGAATTCAACCGATGCAACTTTGACGTGGCGAAGGAGAAAATACAAGATTTTATTAAGGCACACCCAGACAATATGGAAGCCAAGAAGCTGCTTAAAAATATCCTCATCAAACAGAACGAACACAATAAGAAACAGAAGCAGGCCTTCTCCCAAATTTTCGAAAAAGCCTCTGGACTGTACGATGACAGAGAAAAGGAAATACAGAGGAAGAAGAAGGAAAAATATGAAAGTTACTTGAAATCGTGTGCTGAGAAGAACGAAAAGATTGTCGACTTTGACGAGTGGGAAGTTATGGAGAGAGAGAAGCAGAATGAGGAGCAAAAGCAGAAGGATGAGAAGAAGCAGAGCAAAGCGGAGAAGAAGAAGTCAAAGTATAACGATAATATGAAAAAAAAAAGTGAATCACTCACGTCCAACACGACGAATAATTCGTCCTGCTTAGACATAGACGAGGAAGACCAAAAAATAATCGACGAGACCAAAAAAATGGGGTACTGCTATTTTAGGAAAGACATAAAAGAAGACGATAAAAAATTTTTCGAGAAAAATATGCCTCAAAAAATAGAGCATAACATTAGTGATGACTACAATTTGTATAGCAATGAAAATAAAGCCATCTCCGCTTGGAACGCAGCCGGAACTACATATGAAGAGAAGGACAAGAGCACGTGGGCAAAACAGAAATTAGAGCAGTGCTTCAAAAACATCCACTTTAAGAACACAGAAAAGTCAGACTTGCTCAATTTAAATAACCAAAATGAATATAACTTGTTGAATGCCGATTATCCGGAAATCCTACCAATTCAATATTTGAACAAAATTGAGGTCAAGGAGATCAAAGACCTCAACGTGGATGCTCAGATCGTCGTCATACGGGGCACGAAGAGGCACATCTTTGAGCTCTCCTGCAATTTGTACGTAACTCTAAACATCAACATCACTGAATTCCACATACATAAAATTATCGTCCAGATAGCCGAACTTTCTAGCGAATTAGAAGCGGGCAAAACATGGAGAGACTACATCACTGTGAGGAAAAACGACAAATTGAAAGTCCCAGACAAGCTGTTCAGCAACATCTATGAGTTCCTCATCGAGAAGGTGGAGAACCAAGTCAGGTACTTCACAGAGGAGTACAGTAAGATGTGACCTCCATGGGGGGAGCCGCTTCCTCGCCCCCGCCAAAGAAAAGGGCACCCTCCCCAATATGTTACGCAGACGATCGTGTAGCCTGCACGTACGAAGTTAATTAAACCAGTGCAAATACACACACGTGCAAATAAAGACACAGGTGTCAGTAACCCCTTCACGTAGTCATAGCGCAGCTGAATTGATTGTCTCCTCCCACCCCCCGCTTTCTCACTTTTTTTTTTTTTATGAACATATATTTGACATATGTAACTTTTTCTACTTCGCTTCCCGGAACGTCGCCCCGAGGTCTTACTCAAAAAACTGCTTCTTAACTGTACAAAAAAAAAGAGAAAAAAATAGAAAATTCCATCACCTCAAGTAACACCGTGTGTGATAGATCCCATCGTAAAAAATTCCGCTCTGCGTCGTTTGGACGTTTTCGCTAAAAGGCCTGTCGATAGGTGCCCACCACCTTGGTAAGTCCCAAATGGGAGAATTAAGAAAAAGGCGTGACACTAAGGAGGTGCAAAATAGAACTTGCGCTGCGCAGTTGCGCGTAGACCGTTGTCCCACCCAATTGGGCAAGCCTCCTGAGCCTCCTTTTGTTGGAGTGCATGTTAAATATGCTGAAAAGCGTGCCAAGTGTTAAGCGGGATGTCAAAAAGAAAAAAAATAAAATAAAAAAAAAAGGGAAGAGGAAGGGGATGTGCAAAACGAGGAACAAACGGGGCGCTCAACGCCTCAACCCCATTGTAGCTTCAGCCAACTGGATCCCTCCTACTGGTTGATTCTTTCCATTCGCCATAAAGCATTAAATTGGCCAGTTCCTGCCATCACGTCCGTATTCGAAAACGCGAACACTCTTAAACCTGAAGCGTGTTCATCAAACTGCCTATATAGTCGAACAGCTTTTTGTAGCTTTCTTCGTTCATCCTCTCCATATCTAAAAAATTGTTTCTCTTAGCGAACCCATAAACTCCGGAGATGAGATTTTTAAACTTCTCACTGTACTGCTCATCGTACATTGCTTTCTTAAACGTCTCTTCTAGCGCATTTTTTCTTGCGTCTCCGTCCTTTCCACTTGACAACATCGTATCGAGCAGCTTAAAGCTGATGTCGTACTCAGTCTGATTTAGGATGAGATGGTCGTATTGCTGCCTAAAATTGTTGTACTTAGTGTGGTGCTCTCCTTTGTCCATAATATTTCTTTTATCTGCTCCTTCTAGTAGCTTGTCGTACAGTATGTCCACGTGATTGACTTGCGCTGTGGGGTTGACCTTCTGCTCCGGGGCGGCTGACCCAGATGACCCGACTGACCCGGATGACACGGCTGACCCGGATGACCCGGATGACCCGGCTGACCCGGATGACACGGCTGACCCGGATGACCCGGATGACCCGGATGACTCGGATGACCCGGATGACTCGGATGACTCGGATGACACGGCTGGGTTTGTGGCCTCTGTGGAATTGTTCGAAGCAACCGAAGGCTTCGCAGCGGGTTCAGTTGTTGACACTGGATCATTTTCATGTTGAGGACCTTGACCTTGGGCACTTGCACCGGGAGCACTTGCACTGGGAGCACTTGCACTGGGAGCACCTGTACCGGGAGCACTTGAATCTGGAGCATCTGTATCTTCTCTCTCTGTATTTGTTCCCCCTCCACTTGTTCCCCCTCCACTTGTTCCTCCTCCACTTGCTCCTCCTCCACTTGTTCCTGCTCCACTTTCTCCCCCTGTGTCTGTTCCCCCTTGGCTTGTTAATCCTTTACTGTCTCCCGCACCACTATCGCCATTTCCAACTTTTCCCTCTCCACCACTGCCACTTTCACTCTTCACTACTGTGTCCTCATTTGCCTTGACGGTCTGCCCGGCGATCTTCTTATCGTTAAGGTCCAATTCACCTTCGGCCCCCGGCGAGGTATGCCCCTTCTGTGACGCCGATTTCGCCTCCTGCTCACTTTTTAAATTTTTGAATTCCTCCAACTTTTTCTTTAACATCAAAATTTGATCTTCGGTGAATTTCTTGGATAACTTCTCATCCTTAATTTGTACCCTTAGGTTTTGCAATTTCCCGTTTAGTGTTTTTAACTCATCGTTATTCTCGTTATCTGCATCGTTGTTGTTATTGTCTGCATCGTTCTCATTGTTATCTACATCGCTGTTCTTGTTATCTGCATCCTCCTTGTGTGTGTTCTTCTTCTCCTTTTTATTATCTTCTCCCAGGATTGGCCCTGCGCAGAGCAGGAGGAGGCAGGATACCAGGACGATTCGGCTCTTCATTGCGCTGAAGGAATAGCGATAGGGGAATATGCAATGGGGGAATCGCTCTCCGGGAAACACGACGAAGTAGCCTTAAAAGGGCAGCGCCGAATCAGAGTAGCTGAACAAACACGGGGAGAGCATCCCCCTCAAGTGGCCAATTCTGGGTGACGCAAGGCACCAACGAGGGCGAGCCAGCTATGCATACGTGTATCCCAAATTTGCTCCAAGTTGCAGCCTGCTCTTTGTGTGATCCTCAGTGGGAACGGGAAAAAAAAAGATAACAGCTGAAAAAGCTAGCAACAGAATGAGCGAGTTGCAGAATAATCTATCAGTGCTTCCTTGTATTCGTAACCCCTCTTAGTTACACACCTGGGTAATTGAAAAAAAAAAAAAGAAAAAAAAAAGTTTCACAGCGAACTTAGGGGCAAACATATAATAATTATCCTGGTCGTAAGAACCGAAGTAAATGCTTCCCAAACTTTCGGGGCCACTCGATAAAACATTCCCATTCTTACCATTGCATTTGCACACATTCCCCATTTGAACGTTCGAGAAGAGAACATAAAGAATAAACCATTCGCTACGTTGGTTTCCTCGTCGCCTTTACAACTAAACCAAGTGCACATCTCCTGAGTTCGATTCCTTCGTGCGTGTTGCAATTTAGCATACACCAGAAATGGAATGACTTAGCAGTTCACACGCTTTTGGCTTTTTTTTAAAAAAGGTAAAAATCATAATGAGCCAATATGGGCACATTCTTTACGGTCAGATTTGTCATGGCGGGGGCGAGAATGTGGACAATCTGATCGGGTGAGCCATATTAATAGTGAGCAATTTTAGTGCACCAAGAGGGCGGCAAAAAAAATGAAAAAAAACTAAAAAAACGAAGAAAAAAACTTCATCCGCAAATTCGTACTACACAATTTTATACGCATATGAATTTCCAAAATGGTGAAAAAATTGAGCAGAGTGGAGGAGAAATTCCCACAATCGAGATTATCTATCCGTCGAGTGTGCAAGAATCATCGAGGCCTCTAGCCCACCGGCAGATCGAGCACAGGTGAAAAATCGTTGCCCAGAAAATGTGTACTCGCAAATGTACGCAAAA